CAGATGTGCCTTTCTCGACGTCCGCAGATGTGCCTTTCTCGACGTCCGCAGATGTGCCTTTCTCGACGTCCGCAGATGTGCCTTTCTCGACGTTCCCAGATGTGCCTTCCTCGACGTTCCCAGATGGGCCTTCCTCGGCTTGGTTCCCTTCGTTCGCATCGGAACATTCCCCCGTCTCCTCACCCTGGACGGACTCTAAAGCGGCACTGCACTCGACACTTTGAGATTTCGGCTCCTCCACAGATGGTTCTCCCCCCGCAGGTAGTTCTCCCCCAGCAGGTAGTTCTCCTCCTGCAGATGCTTCTTCCTTCACAGTTGCTTCTTCCTTCACAGTTGCTTCTTCCTTCACAGTTGCTTCTTCCTTCACAGCTGCTTCTTCCTCCACATGTGCTTCTTCCTCCACATGTGCTTCTTCCTTCACAGCTGCTTCTTCCTTCACAGCTGCTTCTTCCTTCACAGCTGCTTCTTCCTCCAGAGGTGCTTCTTCCTCCACATGTGCTTCTTCCTCCACATGTGCTTCTTCCTCCACATGTGCTTCTTCCTTCACAGCTGCTTCTTCCTCCGTGACTGCTTCGTCTTTATTTCCATCTGCTTCCACTTCCTGTACCGCTTCCACCGCTTTGTATTTCTCCACCACCCCCTCCACTTCACTGCGCATGCCCTCGTCTAGCGTGACTCTCCATTTTCTTAAGTCCTTCGTGTAGGCGCTTTCAAGAGGGGGGTTGTCATCTATTCCCTTTTCAGGCGGCTCCTCTGTGGCATGGTTGGCCGTCTCTTCTGTTTTCCATTTGGTCGTTTCCTCTGTCTTCTCTTCAGCGGTCTCCTGTGATTTCTCTTCAGCGGTCTCCTCTGTCTTCTCTTCAGCGGTCTCCTCTGTCTTCTCTTCAGCGGTCTCCTCTTTCTTCTCTTCAGTCGTCACCTCTGTCTTCTCTTCAGTCGTCACCTCTGTCTTCTCTTCAATCGTCACCTCTGTCTTCTCTTCAGTCGTCACCTCTGTCTTCTCTTCAATCGTCACCTCTGTGGCATGTTCTTCCCCGTTTGCTTCCCCCTCTGCTGCCTCCTCCTCGCCCTTCTCCACGGAGTGCGGCTTCGTATCATTGGCGAGTCCACCGTTGGTCGCGTGGCTCTGGTTGATAGTAGCAGTCTTGGAGATGGTCCCCTGGTTGGAGGAGTTGCCTGGTGGGGGTGAAGAGAAAATCATTTGAGCTGAAGTGATGATTCAGGGTGGAAGGAGGACAAAGGTTTATGCACCCAAGAGGGAATGGAAGAGCCACTAGGAAATGCACCACTAAACGGTTCCTTCTAGGTGGCTCCCTTCTATGTCACTCCCTTCTAACCTGGCCGAGCTGCACCCAGGACGATCCCCGCCTGAGTGTTGTTCTTTTTAAGCTTCTCCTTGATCTTCTTAAATATGAGGACAGCCTGGGCTTCGTTAATTTTGGACTTATACAGCAGATCATTTTTTATCAATAGAAATGAGTTTTTTTTTTTCTTAAAGTTTGAGATGCTTTTATTGTTATTTATGTTTGTATCTGCTTTGTCATCGTCTGTGTGTGTGGATGGATCTGCATTTTTTACATGCACTTCATCCTTGAAGTATTTTTTTAAATAAAAATCACATGTCTTCTCGACACTCTCCATCATGACTCGGTGCTTGATTCTCATGGGTTTGTCGGGAATCTGGTTTCCACTTGGCTTCCCATTTCGGGTTCGTTTCTTTGCTCTGTCTGCGCTCTCTTCCTCCTGGTGGGTGAGGTTCTTCGCGATTTCTTCGTATGTCCCGAGGTTCTGCCGGGGGTGGAGGAAGGGAGTGAAAAAAAGCGGTGGGAAGAAAAGGAGAGAGAAGAAAAGGGGAGAGAAGAAAAAGGGAGAGAACAAAAGGGGGAAGAAAGCTTCGTTGTGGGAAGAAGAACCAGCACACCTCTCACAAAACTACCGGCACAGCTGCCGCCAGCTCTGCCTCCTCCACTCACGCTGAGCAACTCGTGGTGCTTCTCCTTATTGCAGGAAAACTTTTTTATTTTTTTATTTTTTAAATTTAACGCGATAACGGTTAGGTTGGCTTCTTCGTCGACTTTCAGTTCTTTCGGGGGTGGAGAAGGAGGAGCAAATCAGAAAAATGGGAGGTGAGAGACAAGACAGAGTAGTGAGTGCGGGGAAGGTCATCGGGGGGAACCTCCCATTTACATGCCTCATTTGAGGTGAACTGCTCCATCCCGTTAATGTTTCCCTTGGGGAACAATCTTACCTGTGTAGAACTTGCAGCTCTTCTGGCTGTCGTCGATGTAGCCTTTATAGAGGACTTTCACTTTGGGCTGCCGAGGGGGCAAGTCAAGCGGTCAGGTGATGAAGCGGTGGTGTGGGGCGGCCATGTGAAGCGGCCATGTGAAGCGGCCATGTGAAGCGGCCATTTCGGGGGAAGCCACCTCGATTGCCATCCCGATTGCCACCTCTGACCAGCGAAGATGACACGTACTTTCATAACCGCGGAGGGAGGCACATTAGCATGGTTGATTTTTATCTCCTTTTTCACTTTAGCTTTCTTAATGTTGTCGAAGAGAAAGTTCTTCCTATTCATGTTGACTTCTAACTGAATGGCCGTTTGCTTCGACTGTTCCGCCGCCCTCTTGTCTCGTCGGGTGATGCCCTCCAGTTTTTTCTTCAAGATTCTGCCATTTGGGGGGAGAAGCGTGGAAGTGCGGAAGCCGTGTGGGTAAACGTACGCAGGTAAGTAAAGTAGACATGCATGTGGAGAGGCCGAAGTGAGGGAAAAAAAAAAAAGAAAAAAAAAACACGTGGAGATATCATTGTGCATAGAATGGCGCAATTCCCCTTCCCAACACAGGTGTGTACAGTTACTTATTATTCCTCTCTATTTCCTCGTTCCTCATTTTGGCGTGGTAAAGCTTCTTCCTATTGTTCAGGCTCCGTTTCGTTCGGTCGAACTGAATCGTCGGTTTTACATTTTTTAATTTCTGTTCCTCGATTTTCCTGCAATACTCCTTCACCCGCTCCTCCACAATTTTGTTCGTTATGATGTTAAGATTGTTCTTCATTTTGTGCCGCGACGGTGGTAGATCGGTTGAGGTGCAAACGTTGAAGTGTTCCTCGGGGGAGAGCGATTAAGCTGTTACGCGGCGGCTGATTTATGTGTTCGGCCGGCACAGCTCCCCAGACGCCCTCGCCGCAAACAATCGCAACCGCTGGACGGGTCGGTCGGCGCCCTGCCATGGAGACTACTCACGGGGGCGGTGAGACGACACGGCTCCGAACCAGCGAAGGGACTGGCCGGAAACGCGCGTCCTCGCAGAGACAAAGAAGCGAAATGGGAAGAAGCAAAAAAGGAAGAAGCAAAAAAGGAAGAAGCGAAAAAAAGGGCAAAAAAGGGGCAAAAAAAGAACACAAAAATTGACACAAAAATGACACAAAAATGAATAGGGCACGCCGCTAAAGCCAAGATACTGAAGGCCCAAAAGACGGATACCTTGTCTATCTCGCCATCACGCTATATCGCTATCTCCCTATCTTGCTGTCTGGCCCATCCGGAAGGTAAAAGACTCCTAGGCCAAAATTAGAAAATCAATTCGTCCGCACTTCTGATGTTGATTTCGAGGCCTGTCCAACAAAAAAAAAAAAAAAAGAGGGCCATCATTTTGGTAAGTAAAAATGTACGTCAAGAAACGCTTTGCACAGTGGAGAAAAAAAAAAAAAAAAAAAAAAACGCATAATGAAGCCCCGCCGAAATGCTGCTATTGACAGGCTTCGCAGTAGCAGGGGTGGTCTCTCCGTGTGGCTGGATTTACCCTTCATAAAGTCGAATCTATCTTTGTAGTTATTCCTTTAAAAAAAAAAAAAAGGACAAAAAAGACAAAATTGTATTGGTGCGCACTGATTAACTTTTCACACGTAACCGTACGCCTTTCGATGGGATTCACATGCAGAGGCCGATTTGCGCCGATTAGCCCGTACCAGAATATCTTCTCGTGGGCTTGAGCTTGGATGATTAGGAATCCGAGGCGCAGCCCCTGCGAGTTTGCGAAATGTGGAATGACGTGGGATGACGTGGCACGATGACACAGGGGATACTCACGAAAGAGGCATAGCTCTCTTTACACACATGTGCAGCAACAGAGAAGGGGGTGGAAAGAACTTCATCAGCGTGAAGGAAACTTTCTTCGCAAACCCGCAGACTCTCCCTCTACACCGCTACACATCTACGCTTTTATTCTACCCTGCGTGGTGAGCCTTCCCCTCCTCGCACCTGAATCTCCTCCGGCTTGCAAAAGTCCATGGAAAACGTGTCGAACTGGATCCTATCCATGGGGGTGACAACTATGGGGTGCCCCCTCGTGTGAATGAACCTGTGAAGAGGTGAAAGGGTGAAGAGGTGAATCAAGGGCGGAACGGGAGGAACGGGAGCAAGGCGACGGACGACAGATGGAAAAGTTGGCTCGAAGGATCACTACACAGGTGTGAGATCAATACTTAAGAAGAAGCATCACTCTGCTCAATTTCCAGTCGCCTCTGAGGAGTCTTACCAGGCCAGGCCAAGGTACAGCTTCCTCCAGGTGAAATTCACGTACTTGTGTTCATATTCCTCTGACTTAAAATCAAAGAGGAGGTAATCCAAAATTTTTCTCCTAATGAAGTGGAACTTCGCATCGATATCTCCCATCCTTATTTGATCGATGTACATGCCTTGGGGAGGAAAGGAGGTGCGCGCGTACAGTCAGTCGGTGTGGCTACGATGGGTGTGGCTACGATCGATTAGGCTACCATCCATGCTGACTCGTCTCTCTTCAGGGATGATTCCTATTTCGTCTTCTTTTTCACTCCTTTGTCTTCTTTTCGTCAACTGTAGTGTCCCATCTCTTCTCCCCCTCGGACTTACCCAAGGGCATGCCGTGCCACTCGCTCGGCCACGTGTCTTCACCTGTGGAAGTGCAGGAAGGAACGGGCGGTGGGAAAAAATGGAGCTAGGCAAACGCGAGGTGGAAAATGCGAGACGGCAAATGCGTAGCGGCATACATGTCACGACAAACGCGCGATGGAGGCACCCACTCGGAACGACGAACGACGGATCCACAAGATTAAAATCGACGACGTCCAACTTCTTCTCTCCTTGGTCCGTCTTGAACCTCTCGTACCTCTCCCTGTTCAAGTCGAAGTATAGATCCTGTGGAGGGGGAAGGATGGGGAAAGAATGGGATAGAAAGAGGAAGGAAGGGGAAAGGAAGGGGAAAGGAAGGGGAAAGGAAGGGGAAAGGAAGGGAAGTCCACTGGGAAGCCATTTCATTTTGTGCCCGGGGGGGCCACTTCCATTCTACCGTCTCCGATTCCCCCATGACGCTCTTCTATGGTCTTACGTTGAAATAGACAAGGGCTTCTACGAAGTCGGCGAAGGACCTGCGATCGGGCGGAAGGGCATGCGCGTGAAAGGAGGAAAAAAGAAAGAGAAACGGAATGCATCGAACGGCAGCGAACTGCATCGAACGGCAGCGAACCGCATCGAACCGCATCGAACCGCATCGAACCGCATCAAACCAGCGGGGACGCACCATTTGTCGAAATCGTACGCGTGGGCTCCTTCCGTCTCCTTCCGTGTGTACAGAAGGAATTTTTTTTCTTTCGGATTCGGCTCTGAAGAAAAGGGACGGGATATGGGAGGAGGAATAATATGCGTTAAGGGGGGTCGGGGGGTAGTCAAGTGGGTAGAGCGCCAACCGATCGGTTGAGCTGATGACCTAATCAAGAGTACCGTTCGAAAGGGAAGGTCTCCCGTTGACAAAATAATCATACTCAGCCCCGTGCGTCCTCTTATACTTCATGATAAAGGAGATATAATCGTCCACGTCCTTGTCATTCTGATTGTTGTAAATATGATCGTAGTAGTAATCATAGTTGGAGGTGAATGTCTGGTCCTTCTTTAGATTTTCGACAATCTGTTTTAGGATGCCCTTTTTCCTTGTGGCTTTGTTTGAGTAATTAGGGAGGACGTTCTGTTGAGGGAGAATTTCGCGGCAGGTGGGGAAGCGGTTCACCCGTTCAGACGCTCATCGGTTCAGCGACTATGCACGGAAGTAGTGGTGAGGGATCGGTCGATTCGCAGACATCCACTTGTTAATGTCCATGGGCAGGTGAAGGTAGACTCTCCTTCGGGGTACACACACTCTGCTTCCTCTTCTGCCTTTTTTTTTCTTGCGACTCACCTGTTCAGCTATTTTGGGAACAAACTTGTACGACGCGAGGAAGTCCTTCACGTCTTCGCCCCCTTTGTCTGGATAGAGGTGAAGTGAGAGGGGAAAGAGCGGTAACATGAGAGCGATAACGTCAGAGCGATAACGTCAGAGCGATAACGTGAGAGCGGTGATGTGAAGGCGTAGACGGAGCGGATGCACGTCTTCTGGTGAGATTCATTCCTCATGTCCCCTCAAAAAAATACGTCGCTTGCCCGAGGACATACCCTTTGGCTTCTTAATGTACAGAGAGAAGAGCTCCTTCCTGACTTCTTGCCGCTCGTCATAGTCGTAGTGCACGTTTTCCTCCGCTGCAGAGTTGTGTTTGTGTTTGGGCGTGTATTTTTGCGTCTATTTTCGCGTCTATTTTTGCGTGTATTTGTGGGTGAGGTTAAAAGAAGGGGGGATGTAGCGAAGGAGGACATAATGGGGGGGGTAAACTTCGCCTACAGAGAGGGGCATAACTGATGGAGCTTCCACTTTCTGCTCACGATTTAATCTCTTGGCGTGGGGGCTGCTTCTCCCAGAGATACGGACGCATGCCTTTCTGTGTAAATCTTACTAGACAAATTGGACATGGTTGTTATTTCCGCATCGTCTTTTTCGAATTCCTGCATTTCGGATGGGCCTGCGGAAGGGGGAAGTAGCCATGAATGGTAAATTACGTGTGGTAAGTGAGTCCACCTCGCCGCACCGATGTGACGGTATCCGTGTCACCGCATTGAAGTGATCGCATCCACACCACCGCTCACAACCGCCGCTCACAACCGCCGCTCACAACCGCCGCTCACTAAATATGGTATCCAGAGGAAAGTTCATTTTCTTGAGAACAAAGTAAATATACTTCTTCTTCTTTTCGCTCTTCTCATTTTTAATGTCCTGCAGCTTCTTCCACAACTTGAAGTTTTTTAAGTCTAATGAGGGGAGGCACGGTGTGAGGGGAGATGTGCACAAAAAGGTTGATACAAACAGGTGGGCATAGAAGCGCACCTGGAGGCAAACGAACCTGTCCTGTTAGACTCTCCCTTTTATGTGAACTCACCTTCATTCTCCTGGGACTTCAGGACGTAGTTCTCCGGGACATCCATGCTGTTGTGTTGTTTCTTTGGCGATAAAATGGGGTGCGAACATGTGGTGGGAGGAGCTCCGTCTCGGCGGAGCTGCATTTCAGCGAAGGGACGAGACTATGCAACATGCTCAGTCCATACGCGAAACACAGCGGAGTGAAAAGGCTTGCCCCTACTTGGAACTCCATCAGAGCTAAGACGACCAAGTTGATCGTGGAGATGTCTTTCTGGGTGACGACTATAGGGGGGGGAGATACACTTAATTAGAAGAAAAAAAAGAAAAAAAAACAAAAGGGAAGTAGCGTGCCTTCTCGTGGGGGGCATAATGACGCTCTCCAAGTATGCACCCCCAACAGGAACTGAACACAACATCGTCGAGACAACCTCGTCGAGACAACCTCGCCGAAACAGTATCGTCCACACAACATTCACAAAAAAAAACCATTGAAATGACAATAATAAAGGTGGAGGTCCCCCTCGTTGTGGTTCCATCCTTCTCTCCCTTTTTTAGCAGTTCTTTCATATCTTACCATCTTCAAAAATTATGGTTTTCTTCCTGGCCCCAATTCTTCTTTTCCTGCTCGATACAACATACTTGGCATTGCCGCTGTTGTGTGTAATGTAGGAAGGAACGGATGCGGACACTTTGGCCTCTGCTGTCGGTATGTTACTCAGGGTGACACACAACAACGTGAGGGGAAAGATGTTGCGCATTATTTGGCTGAGAAGTGGGGGGTGGAGGGAAGCGACACACCTGCTAGGGGAGTGACAACTAAGGGATGCTCGCCAACGGGTGGCTCTTAACCCCAACCACGAGACGAAAAAGCATCTGGGTCACTGCGCCAGGGGAGCAGGAAAGATACACTTATGGACGTACGAGGTACACGAGCCAAGTGCACAGTGATGGAGAAGCACAAATAAAAAAAGGGGGGGGCACTTGGATCATGTTTTTTTTTTTTTTTTAACGCAGAAAAATTTCTCACACTGTTGCTCGGCACTCTCTTCAGCCGCTTTGTGATGATCAAAGGGGCCTACGCACTCGTTTGGATTGTAACGCTGGTGAAATGATAGGTGCCGATCTGGAAATGGGAAGAGAGGATACCTTTTTATTTTTATCATTTTTATTATTTCCTCTATTTTATTTATTTATTTTTTATCCCCCTAGCTGATCACCTCCCCTTCATTCTGCAAGCAAACCTGTTAGTGACTGCTCCGCGTGTTCTTGTCACGGTGAGGGGTGTGTATCACGCGCGTCGACGATTCGTGGGATCGTAGTTCTGTCGTGGTTGCTTTGTTGTGGTTGCTTTGTTGCGACTGCTTTGTCGTGGCTGCTTTGTCGTGGCTGCTTTGTCGTGGCTGCTTTGTCGTGGCTGCTTTGTCGTGGCTGCTTTTCCTTGCTCCCCTTTTCACCCGCTGCCAACACGCCGACATGACCTACCACCATGTTGTGACTTATAATGCATTTAACCAAGCTGCTTATTTTTTTCTGGAGCTCCTTCACCCATGGCAGAATCGGCTGTGTGTGTCGTCTCATGGGGGACTGTCGTTTGTTTTTGAGTCCATCGGGGAGCAGCGCGTCGTCGCTTTGCGGGAATAGAGCGAAGAGGGGGCGTTCATCAAGGGGTAGCCACTGGATTGGTGACCAATCGAGAGGTGGACCCTCCAAGAGGAGACTAAACCGAGTGACAACTCCGACGTTGGGTGGTGTTCCCTTGAAAAGAAGTCCAAACGAGCTTTACCTCTTCAGAGGGCTCAGAAACGCCTTCAGTTTTTTTAACTGGTTTGGGAGCGCCGAGGATGAGGTGAGGGCCGCGAGGGGGAGACACTCACGCAAGCACCAACCAGAGGGAACTTCATAACTGTAAACTGTAGACCCTAAACCGGATGGAACCTCTCAACTCTAACCGTAACCCTAAACTGAAACATACTTCCCCCCCTCCTTTTTGAAGAAATTCTGCGAAGACATCATCGCTCACCTCGGCGACATAACAAAGATGAAGCAGCTCACACGGAGTCACACGAACAGGGATATGATGGAAGGAGAAACAATGAAAAAGATTTTTCGCCACATCCTAACGTCTTCCATCAGTTACAGAGTCTTAAATTGTGTGTCCTACCTGATTAGTCGTTACAAAGTGGGTCGATCGAAGGTAAGGTTTGGAGCAGCGTCTAGGTGGGCCTCACATGCCGTACCGACAGCATAAACCTCATCGGCTTCGTCTGCCACACCTGCACCACCTGCTTCATCCTCCACTTCTTCTGCTTCCCACACACACACAGCTGTGCACCCTGCTGAACGAATTAAGCGACGAAGTGAAGGAAATGAAGGACGCAGAAAACTTCCTGGCGCTGCACATTTTCTTCTTGGAGGACGAGAGCGTTGCGGTAGCCATTTAAGAGGAGAGTAGCCATATCCGTTTAAGAGAACCGTTTCGGAGCAGGCATGGCTCAGTGGCAGATGCACGTATGACTACACCCAATTTCAGATGTGCCTGCCTGTCTTTCTCTTCCCTCCCCCCTTCTGCAGCTCTTCTCCATGATGCACATAATGGACTTTTTCAGGAGTAAACGGAGACTGATGGAAGCTCAGGACGTCATTCGGAGTTAGTGGGAAGGAGATGACACGAATGTGCCGTGGCGGTTGCATTAGGGTGACTCCATCAGAGTGGCTGTGAGTATGCGATTGTGTATGCCCCTCCCTTATGTGTGCTTTTCGTCTGTTTACCCCCGTTTCAACGTTACACGTGTCGATGTACGTGGCATGTACGTGGCCTGGTCGCAGGAGGGAGTCCCCCTTCGCGATGTGTACGCAGCGAAGTGGAAAGAAAAGGATGCCAATCTGCTCAGCCACCCTCCCCATACGCATCTTCGCAGATGAGGAGGTAAAAACAACTGTATATCACAAACTAACCAATGTCTTCCTCCCCTCCCCCCCCCAAACAGAAAAGATTTACGATCAGTGTGTTAATGACCTCATCAGAAAAAAAATCACAAAGTACAAACTATTTTGCCAACGGAAGGGAATCCCATTCCTCTTGGGGGATGCCTTAGATAAGATTCGTTTGAGTGAGAAGGAGGAAGATGTTTACTTCAGTTATGACCACAAGGAGATGTTAAGGGTGTTTATCAGGAAGATCTCCATGGAGAAGGGGAAAGGACTAGGTGACACAGAAATGGAAGGAAGCTTCGGAGAAGGAGGAGACCATGTGGGAGAGATGGATAGCTTACGAAACATGGGCTACCCCAGCACTCACCACACTACTGAGTACGCTGCGGGGCATACCGGTCACCACATCGCTGACGAGACTGCTAACCACACCGCCGACCATGTGGCGGACGCGTGCGCCCAGGCGGAGGAAAACGAAAACCTGATGGAACTAAAAAAGACGTACCAAGAGATTCAGTCCTTTAACGAATCCATAATAAAGCACATCGAGTCGAAACAGCGTCTCTTCTACTTTGACGAAAACGAATTCGAATTTAGGAAGCACAAGGGGAAGTGGCAAGATGGGAAACACGGAGAGGAGGGGCAACACGGGCAAGATGAGCAAGATTGGCAGGACGGAGAAGAATTGGAGGAGGAAGAGGAAGACATGGAGTCCATCCAGAAAAGGATAGACAGCTACATACACGAGTATACAAAGAGCAAGAACATGTCGATGGAGCAGTTCACGAATGAGTTTGTTGAGCAGGCAGACTTGAATTTCAAGGCCTTCCTCAAGGGATTGCGATTGGGGGAAGGCGACGTAACTGCTCACGACGCGAGCCTGGAGGGGGGAAGCGAAGGAGATCTAGCTGCTCACGACGCGAGCATCGATGGGGGGACTGCACCAGGCCTAATTGCTTCCACCGCAACGGCAGGGGCGCCCCGTCAGAAGGACCAACTAACCACCTTCAAACTTAAGAAGCTGAACGAAGGAGACACAGACGACTCCGGGTTCCAATTAACAGACGACATCCTCTACGAACGAATCAGAATGAAAATGCTGTACTTACTCCAAAAAGTCGAATATCTTAAATTTAAATACCAACATGAGATTATTAATGAGAGATACCCCATCGAGAAAAATGAGAAAACGGTTTTGGACGTCCTCAAGTACGGCTATAAGATTGTCGTTTCTCCTGACGTGGATAATTCTATTTTTCATCAGAATCGACATGTGCACGGGGATCTCTCCTCGAATGTGTTTGCCAACGGGGTGAAGGGCGACCTGCAGGAGGGGGCAGTGGGAGACGCGCACGAGGAGTGTGCGGCCCTCCGGAGTAGAAGTAAGGCACAGCGGGGGAGTGGTAAAGTGAGGTTGAAGTTGGTTTCGAACCTCTTTCCCGAACCGCTTCTCGAACTAGTCGGCAACCCTGTCTTCGGACTTACCCCCCGCACAGAGCAGTACAGAATAACCCTGTGATGGTGAATGCACTCTGTCCAGTGCCACATTCAAATTCTCATGGAACTTTTTTTTTTCTTTTTTTTTTTTCTTCTTTTCCTTCACTATCCCCCACTTTGCAGAGCATATTTACGACTTCAAATGCCGCAAATGCGACTATCACATTTTCAGCACAGGTAGGATAGAACGTAAAGGGCGGGAGGCGGAGTGCCTTCATCTGTTGAGCAGCCGCCCACCGAAGGGTTCGCGGCACCCCGTGTACTAACGCACAAACGGGCATTTATTTTATTTATTTTTTTTTTTTTTTTATTTTTTTTTATTTATTTTTTTTTCCTCTTCTTAATTGCCTTACCCGTTAGGCGAAAATCAGCTTGCAGAAGAGATAGCGACGTGTCCGCAGTGCCACGCGCGCAGTTGAGCGAGTCGTTTTAGGGAATCGCTTGCTCTCACGCACCGTACAGCGAGCGCATATTTGTGTACAGCTTCACGAAGTAGAGAGACAAGCCGGGGTCGGAGAAAATGCCAAAGTAGCGCACGCAAGAAAAGGTATTATACTGGTACATAAGAAAAAAAGCAACGTACGAGTAGACACAAAAAAAATAAAGCAAGGAGAAGCAGGAAAACCAATTGTCGTAAGCGAGGTATGCAACATTGATTACCCAGTGAGATGCACACCTCTTGGACAGAATGATGAAATTCAATTTGTGGAATACACAACAGAGGGAGCAGTACTTACTGAAGTGATTCTTATTGTATATATAGGTGAATGTATTTAGGCACTTTTGTATTCGGTGTGTGTATAGAAGGAGGAGCAGGTGGATGTCGTTTGTGTAGTAGAAGGAAGGCGAGGAGGAGTGTTCTCCTGAGGGGGATGATTGTTCCCAGGAGGGGTATTCTCCTGAGTGGTGTTCTCCCCTTTGTGAGGATGAGGACGACTCACCCAAACGACGCAAGTAGCGACCAACTCCGTTTTTAAAAAAGAGACTGTCATACTCGTTGAGGTAATTATACTGGTAGAAGACGCAGGTGTTGTAAAGAGATAAAATGCGATGGGCCTGATTTCTCGCATCAACAGCGGAAGCAAAGGAGAGGATGCCATTCAAATTGGTAACCATGTTGGAGTAAATATCGTGGAACCGTCCCATGTCTATTTCCTTCTGTGTGTTTTCTCTCAAATGGTCTCTTATCCGTTTCACATTTTTTTCGTGGACTTTTTTGTAATACTTATTCTTTATAGCTTCATCCAAATTGATAACGTAATAGTTAATCAGTTTCTTCAATTTGAAAATCTTTCTGTGCATGTATATTTTGGCTTTTTTGGAGTGCCCTCTGAGTTTACTTTTTGCCGCGGCTAGGCTGGACTGCTCGGCATGGAGCTTCTCGTCTGTGCTGTGCCATGAGGGAACTTTCTTTAGCCGCGTGTTGAGCGGTGTGTTCGGCGGTGTGTGCAGCGGCATATCATCCTGCCGCTTACCCCGTTGCCCATTCCCGCCGCCCTTGCCGTACGGGCGAAAGAAGATGCGGAGCCCCCGTTTCTCCTCTCCATGCCGGAAGCGCTTGAGTAAGTGCACCTTCAAATTCTCAATCGCATCCGATGTGCTCAGGTAAAAGATTTTATTCCCCTTCTCAAACTTCGCCTTCTCCTCCAGCATTAATAGGTTTTTTTTTATGCTGACCATTTTGATGCAGCATTCCAGGAGAAGGCGTAGGTACAGCACGAGGTAGAGGTCATTTAGTATTTTCATTTTCTCGTCCATTTCGCTCCGATATGGTGTGCAATTGTGTGGATGCATCTGTAGCGTGTCTTCCTGCTGCTTTCTGTTCCCTCCGTGGCTGTACAACGTGGCAACCGTTTGTGATGTAGCTTTCGCTACTATGTGATCAGCTTTTCCGTGGCCAACTACGTCATGGCTTCTGCTGCCATCTCCATTTTGCTGCACAGCGTCGTCTTTTTTATCCCTTTTTTGGACCCCCTTGGAGGATGGCGAGTTAGACGGGGTGCGGGGGAGACCACTTGGCGAATCGCTCCTTGGAACGCTCCTTGGGACGCTCTTTTGACCGCCTGCCGAATGGCCCCTTTCGCACCCCCCTTCGGTTTCCCCACAAAATAAGTGCCTATCCGCATCGTCCCGCAGGAGGTGCCCCTGCTCAGCCGCGCTACCCCCCGCGAAGTACCCCTCCTCAGACGCGCTTCCCCCGCCGAAGAAGCCGAAGAAGTAATCGACGAGGCTTCTCCCCTTCCTGTCCCTCTTGTCCAGTTCTTCAAACAAAGAGCTATTCATCAGGATGTGTCGATAACTCTTGTAGCAAATGAACTTAAGTATATTCACCATGTAGAGGTTCACAAGGGTGTTTGTATCGGTATCAATACAGATCCTATTTACATTATCGTATGCTTTGTTTAGCAAATAGAGAAGATTGATGCTGACTTGGTCGTGCTGGGGGGAGGAGAGACTGCTACCACCTGTCGTCGTTTGGCTAAATGTCTGTTCATACTTATGAATCGCGTATTTTTCATAGAGATTCCCTTTTGCCTTTCCGGGGAGGTTCCTCTTCCGCGGGGGGGATGATCTCTCTTCTTCTGCCTCGCTGTCGCTATCACTGTCATTGTCGCTATAGTGGGAGTGGCTCACCTCGTCGGGCCACGCCCCCCCGCCCCACGCCAAACGTGTCACCCAGTTGGCAAGCCAGCCACGGAAATCGCCACGGCAATCACCACGGCAACCGCGACTCCCCCCCTCCTTCTCCCTATGCAACGAGAACTCCTTCTCATGATACAACCTCGTGTTGAGATTAACCACGTGTTGAGATAGCTGCCTCAAAATGTAATAACTTAGCTGTGGTGAGATGACGGCATATTTCACACTCTTGTCTAATATGATCTCATAAAAATATATTTTGTTAAATAGGCTTTTTTCGCTGTGCATGATGAAGTGGTAATTAGGGCCATGTCTACCTTCTGTGCTGGTGGTGTCTGCCCTATCGTTGGGATTCCGAGGAAGAGATGGAGATGCAGAGCGAGATGGACACGGAGGAGGGACTCTCCGAGATGATGACCTTTCCCTAAGTGTGTAGTAAATCCAGCGGAGCATTTTATTTTCGTAAATATAACCGTCGTAAATGCTCAGGATGATTAGTGGTATGTGACAGAGTGCGCTGTTCATTTTTAGCTTCTTCACGATGTCTAGTTCGTCTCTAATTTGGTTGTTTTCTCTCTGACTTGTACTTGCCCTGCGGTGGTGGAGCCAGTACGCTGGCACGAGTGCCCCGAGGGCGCAGTAGAGCAGCTTCGTCCCTTTTTTCTTCGTTTCCATTTGTCTGTCCTGGTCCCATTCGCCCTTCTCACGCGTGTCTGTCGCGGCACCGCGACACCCTTAAGCCGCTACACTGCAGAATCGCTAAACCGCTACACCGTTAAGCCGCTAACCCCTGAGTCACACCATACTGCTTCGCTCCCCCCTTAAGTGCAGTCTTTTTCGCGCCTTCGCTGCGTGTGCCCCAAGCGGGTACGAACACATTTTTGCGACGCTACCTCACTGGGACGGTTCCACCGTGATTGGACAAGATGCTCCTAGTGAAGCGGGTTCCAAGTTACGTGGATCCCTTAAACCATCACGATGATGTGTGCACGCGTGTGCATGCAATTCCACCAGTGCCCTTATGCTGAGGGAAAACACAAATGTATACCATTTACGTATATGCATCCTCCAAGGGGGACAAAACAACATGTCACTTTTTTTTTTCTTGCCAATAACAACTGTGCTGTCATTCCCCACAACAGTCCTAACACCTGGATCGATCACCATGTAGAAAGTTCTATTTGGAATATAGAAGTCCCTCCGTGGTCCTTTTTTGCTGCGAAGCGGTGTTTCCCCGCACGGCTGTACGTGCATGTACGCATTGGAATGTATTTTGCTGCCCCTTGCGGACATTTTTTTTTTTTTTTTTTTAATTCCGCACGTGGTCGCTTGGTTTTTCTTCAGAGACGATCTCACCATGTGGCCAAGAAAGTAAGCAACGACATGTGCTCACTCTCGTTGAACACGTTTGTGGTCCTTTTTCCCATCTCCTATGTGACACTTAAAAATGGGGAAGCCTCCACCGACGATATTTTTCCCTTCAAAATGGAACAAATTTAAATGTTTTTTTTTTTTTTTTTTTTGTTGCACTGCGTCAGTTGTATGCGGTGTTGCAGATTGAACGGGGGGGACACAAGACGGAAAGGGGAATCTTTGCCCTGCGTCAGTTGTATGCGGTGTTGCAGATTGAACGGGGGGGACACAAGACGGAAAGGGGAATCTACCACCTGCACACACACACGGTCGCACAGAGACACATTTCTGCATATGCCACCCCTTCATTGATCAAGATGGGGAAATAAAGATAAAAAAAAAAAGTCTACCCAAAGGGAACTCCGCTTGTGCATACAAATGGGGAGCAGTGGGGATGGGGTTCTTCAGTGGGAGGAGTCACCGTGAGAGGGTTGGACTACTCTGGCATAGGGATGTACCGCCAAATAACCACCGTAACATGGCACAAAACGGAGAAGGATGAGACGGCGAAAGGTCCAACTGGCACGTTAAATGTGCATCCCTTCGTAACCGACCAATCGAGGGAAGAAATGTGTATTTTCAATCTGCACATATGGGTAGGTAATTATCTATGTGCGTGTGATCATATCGTTTTTTTCATGCGCATATGCTTCCCTCCACCCGTCGGATTAACCTCCAATTGGAGCAGAGAATAGAAGCAGAGGAGGAGAGGGTGTGCGTATATGTGTGTGTGCTTGTTTCTTTCTCCGTTTGTGTGTTTGTTTCTTCATCCGTTTGTGTGTTTGTTTCTTCATCCGTTTGTGTGTTTGTTTCTTCATCCGTTTGTGTGTTTGTTTCTTCATCCGTTTGTGTGTTTGTTTCTTTATCCGTTTGTGTATTTGTGTTTGTTTGTTTGTGGGTGGATGTGGAGGTTATGTATACCCTAGGTGGCCCAGCAAACACACATGTGCTTCCTCTTGGGGCTAATTTTTTTTTCTTCTTCCAGCTAATGTTCCCGCGTGGGTGGGTTACACCTGCGTCATCTGTTATGTGGCAAAGCCGCTATTGCTACCGCTGACGACGTGTGGTTACTTGGCTGACCGACTGCTTCGTCGGTTGTTTGGTCGATTGCTCTGTTCCCTACATTTTGCTTACGCGCTTCGCCCCAGTGTACCACGTGGACGGCGGTTAACGCTACTACTACTATGGATTTGTGCGCCTACGCATGTGTACGTATCCGTTGGGGGAAAAGCATACAGGCACGCATAGCTGCCGGCGCGAAGGCGTTCATGCTCGGGCGGGGAGAGAAAGCCTCGCAAGAAGAAAAAGAGGAAGAAAAAAAAAAAAAAAAACAATTCATCTTGTAACATTTAAGAATATGCTTCTACCTTTTTTTTTTTTTTTTTTAAATCTTGGCCTTCCCCCTTTTTACCCCCTCCGCTATGCTTGGCAACCTTTTAGCCATCAACGTCTATCCATTTTTTTTTTTTTCCTTCTTTCCTTCCCCTTTCGGATGAAGATGCTTTTTTTTCGTTTTTTTGTTGTTTTCACCCTGACTTGGCTAAACGTTGTCTTATCAAAGCTGAACTTCCAAAATGAGCAGATAGCGGCATCCTTCTTCGAGGCTAACAGCGATTATCGTGTAACTAAGGAGTAAGCGGCAGCCTTGTGCGAGGGTCGACGTGTTGAGTCCGGCTCTGACATCACGCGCGCGCAGGCACGCGATTGGGTCCATACCCCGGCGCGCCAAGCTGCATAACTATTCAGATGATTATAGCTACCCACATGATTGCTTGCCTACGTCTACACATGTCTGCTTATCCCCCCAACTTCTTCCCCCCGAAGGGACGTAGTCGACGGTATAGAGAAATGCTGGTTCAACGTGACGAATTACCTCATTAACCAGTCAATAAAGCAAGGTTGGCGGAGAAAAAATGCAGACTAAGCCAAACGAGGGCAAGCGGGCGAGCGGGCCAGCGGTCAACGCAGAGACAGCGTCCCCCCCATGAGATTGGACACTGAAATTAATCACATAGTTAACCAAGCCGAAAGGAAATTTTCATTCTATTTTTTTCTGATTTTTTTTTATCTCTTTTTTTTTTCCCGTCTGCACCCCACCCCCTAAGAGAACGACTTCAGCAGTGACGTCAAGACAGCCGTCAATTCGATGAAGCTCAAGCTCGACCAACTGGTCACCCTTTCGTACTCGATTAAAAAAATAGACACGTAAGAGGAGGGAGGATGCCTTTTTCCTAGCCAAGCTTAAGTAGCGGCCATTCCCTAAGCCCCCTTCCCCAATTCCACCTTTCCCCTTCCGCAGGGTAAACGCGTCCTTCCAGTGGGCCCAATCCCCCGAGGATATTTTCCTCAACATTAAGTTCTCCCACAGGTGGAGCTCGCCGGGTTCGCTTCTTTTTCGCGGCGCCTCCTTTTCCGTTCCGCATCGAACCTGCATAGAAGCTGCATAGAACTTGCCTGCATCTAATCTGCATGGACCTCCCACTCATTAGTCGTTCGTTTCCCATTTTTTTTCTTTTCGTTTGCCACTTTTTTTTCTTTTCGTTTGCCACTTTTTCTTCTTTTCGTTTGCCATTTTTTCTTCCCTTTCCCCCGGCAGGCGCCCTAAAAGTGAAGGACGAAGAAGTGGTTGCCAAAAAAAACTTCTTCTCCTTTTCGGCCCTGAGTGACGACACCAACTCGGTGACAAAAAAGTACACCGTTGATCTGAAGCTCCTCCATGATATAGTCGAATCGGTTAGACTTCCCACGGGGAGGGGGGTCCTCTTCATGTGACGTAGTGTCACGTTGAAAGGTGTTACATGTAGTGTGTGAGTGCACCCCTGCCCTTTTTATGAAGCATCCGTTGTGTGTTTGTATCACCCCACGCATGACTACCTCTTCACTTCATTTGCGAAAAAAAAAAAAAAAAAAATACTTATAGGAGACGAAGTACAACTTCGCGTCCGTTGGGAAGGTCGTCGTTACTTTGAAGAAAAAGGAGAAGCGAATTTGGAATCGCCTCCTCAAGTCAAATGAGAAAAATCCGAACATGCAGGTCTGGTGGGACATGAAGGAGAAGTAAGGGAAGGAGAAAAAAATGGAGCGCCCCCGAAAACCAGCCGTGCACCGATTGACACGGTGCTGCGTAAAAAGATAAGCGAGTTCGGCGGCTTACTCGCGGAGCATCACTGCGGACGTGCACACTTGGATGAGGGGCAGCACACTTGGCTGACACACACTTGGGGGCCACTCACTTGGCTTCTTCCCCGCGAACCCCTTAGGTACCACGACAGCGTCCAGTCATTTTTAAAGGAAGAGGAAAAAAAAAGAAAACAAAGGAGTGGCAACAACGAAACGAATGACAACGGCGAAACAAGTGTTAATGACGAAGTGGGGACCATCCCCGGGGAACAAAACAAAATGGAAGAAACACAATTTGACGGGAATGAAAATGAACAGGACGAAGGACATAACGGCGGGGTGCCATCAAATGAGTCGAAAAAAGACAACCCCAAGAATGCGAAAAACGAAGAATTGTAACAAAAAAAACGAAAGAAAAAAAAAAATGTACAATTTGTACGAGGGTCTCTTTAATAACAACTGGCTTATGTGCACGGAGGCAGGTACCCCCACAGAGAGGGGTAGGCAGGGAGACAGACATCCCGACATGCAGTTAAATGTGTCTACAGGTACACTCACGCGAACACGTGAAAGAAGTTAATAATCCTTCCCCTTCGCTAAGTAGCTCTTTTCATTTTTACCGTGCACGCTACAAGGTGCCCATCGTAGTCGTGCGTTTTTTACCAATTTGACGAGCACGAAAAAGGAACTCTTCAAATGATGCTGTGCTGCCACACTATGCGAGGTTCATGTGTGGCTTGCATCCCTTCACCTCTTCATCTCTTCACAGTTCCATCCCTTCATCTCTCCATCCCTCCAACCGTCCAATTCGTGACGTATCAATTTGTTAATCCTTGTGGTGCGGTTTGGGGAATAGGAACGTGGCTGAGGATCCTAGCGCGGGATCCTACCTCAGCTGTCGCCTCGTGACAGCGCCGCGAATGGGGCTTCCTAATTTCTCCCTACAACCGCCACGCAACCATGTTATGATCCTCTCACAACCATGATATGATCTTCTCACCACCCTGTGGCCGCCCCAGACTCACTTTATTTTGTAAATTATAACCCCTATGTTGGCAATGGCCAACAGAATTATGATCAGAATGAGCAAGCATTTAAACAACACCTTGTTGTGGTATATACTCAGGAGCATCCTTTTCACTCTGCTCTGCTCTTGCATTGTTTCGTCCGTCTTGAAAAAGAAGAAAAAAAAAAAGAAAAAAAAAAAAAGATAAGTTATGTTATGTTAAGATAAGTGTTCGAATAGGACATGCGAACGGAAGAATGTTAGAGATGTGCACGGACAAACACCCCCACCCCCAACAGGGGAACACAATGTGAAAGGTAGGCCTGTTTGTCTACTCCCCCCTCCACGTGCATGCAGCATTTGGCAACAAATCGAGCAATCTTTTCTTTTCTTTTTTTTTTTTTTTTTTTTTGTCGAAATTACGTAAAGTTTCGTTCTGAGGATGGCACTTCTCTGCGCTGTCAGTTCGCTCATTATTGTGTATCCTGCATGGGGGGTTAAGACGGTTGGGTGAGATAAATGTTGCTCAGCTGAGATAAATATCGTTCGGGGATTGCAAGCAGCCGCGATAGTAGCGACGATGGAAGGCGCGTGTGTTTAACCCATGTCCTCTACATCTTGGGCTCTCCTAAAAATGAGAATGATGAAAATAGGAAGAGGTGAGAAATTGTCAAACTGGGAAAGGCTTCGACGAGGGGGAAGGCTGATTTAGCAGAGACCCCTCGTGTTGCCGCCTTCTTCCGTTTTGTACCTCTCAGATTCCTTTAGAAAGTTGGTCCCCTCCATGTATTTCCTCGTGGTGTCATATTCCCTTTTGTTCAGCTGCAATGAAGGAGGGCATCGCGTCCACGCGAAAGATTCGTTTGCTAATTTTTTCTTGTCATTTTATTCTGTCATTTTATTTTGTTATCTTATTTGGTTATTTTATTTTTTATTTTATTTTTTATTTATTTTTTTCTTTTTTTTTCCTCTGCGCCTTACCACCTCGTCCGAATAGTAATCACTGCTCATTTTGTTCAGCAGCTTTTTGTACTTCTGCACGTCCTCTTGGTGTTTACGTATCTGCGGGGGGAGATAAAAGGAGAGGGCATTCGAGGGGGCGCATAAAAAGGAGAAGACATTCCTGAGGTTATCCTAAGGACCATTCAATGGGGGGGACACACTCAAAGGGGTCCTCTTTTGGTCTACCGCTGGGGGGTGTCCCTTCTCCCTTACGTCATCAAAAATCTTGTGCGATCCTTTCGGTAGGCTATTCGTCTCCACTATGATTTGTTTTATCTGGCGAGTCGGATGGTGGGAAGGAAAGGGTCGGTGTGACAGAGAGGTGGAACGGTGCAATGGAGGTGACGCAGTGTAGATGGCGCAGCGGGAAAGAAACGTTAACATGGATACGCCTCGATAGGCAAATGTTACAACACCGCTAACGGTGTAACCCCAAAGGGGAACACAAATTTTTACAGCTCAAATGTTGGAGAAGAAAGTGGAGCCATACACATATATGGATCCCTGCGCACACCAATCTCCCGTCACGCATGTGCGCATGTAAATATTATTCGTACACATTTCTCAGCCTCGAAAATGTCCTCTTTCGTTTTCTGGATCCCTTCTAGATCTGAAATGTGTTCAGCAAAGAATGCAACGAAAAAATTTTTGTCAGTACAAATTGGAGCTGCACTGTTTGGTTGTTTTATGTTACATTATGTAATTATCCAATTTTTTTCGTCACTTTTTTTTTTTCGTGCCTTTTTTTTCTTTTTTAATTTCAAACTTTGTATTTGATGAATGGATGATTTTATTTTATGAATGTACTTATCTAAATCTTTTACATATTCGTCAAAATATTCTGAGTAAGTAATCATTTTTTTTTTCTCTCTCTATCTTTAGCATGTTTGGGTGATGGTTCCCTTATCTGTTGTTGGCCGGCAGAGCGGCGAAGTGGTAAAGCGGTGAAGCGGCGAATCGGCGAACCAGCAGAGCAAAGATACAAAATAAAAACTCGTTTCAGGCTTCGCTCACAGTTGTCATTTTTCATCCATCGCGGTGATTCCCCATTCGTCCGTTCCTTTTTTTGTTCTTTTTTTTTTTTTTTTTCTTAATTCACCATGCAGAGTGGTCCCAATCAATTTGCTCCGCTGCTTATTCCCCGCGCGGTTCCCTCGTTAACAATCTATACATGCTGTCCTTATTGTTCTTATTGTTGTTTTTTTTTTTTTTTTTTTTTATGCACAATTTAATTTCTGCGTAGTGGCCCAGGTGAAGTGAAGCATGTGCTTATACATGCCTTTCCAACACAAGCACTCCTCCACTCGTTGCCGTGCATAGGAAAACATCCTCCTTTTTACATGCAGCGCAGGGAGAGAATATGCTTCACATGCTTTGCTTGTCCACGTCCGCAACACACTTAGCCCACTCTTCAATTTCATCAACGTTGTAGTGGGGAGTTTTTTTTTTTTTTTCTATGTGATTGCCTTCTCCCGAGTAGCATAAAAAAGGGACGGCCACAGCTTTCACCAGACTGCACCAGTGATAGGTGCACACACGGAGGGGAGGAAGCAAAAGGTCGGACATAACTCACCGCTGACACCCTGGAAGGGTTTAAAAAGAAGAAAAAAAAGAAAAGAGGAAAAAACTTCCCCTAATTTTTTTTTTTCTTTTTTGCACTCCATTTTTGTATCACCTTACCGCTGCACAAAATGTTGGAAAGTTTCTGCATCGATTTAATCAACGAGCTCTTCTTAACAAAATATAAGTTTCTCCTGGCGATGAAACTTAACAGTATGCTGAGTGCAAAATGCCAGAGTTACGCGGAGAAGGAAGCTGAGAAAGATGGCCCCGAGGGGGAGTCCCCATCGTGTGTAGGAAGTTCTACTCCGGTGCCTCATGTGCAGGAGAAATACAACTACGCCAATTTTTGCGAATTAAAAAAGAAAGAAATGAGGAAACAAAAAATAAAAAAAAATAATTTCAAAAGGTTAAGAAAATATGTAGGGGATTTAAAGGAGCACCGTGGAGTGGATTGTCTGGAAGGAGAAAAGGACCAGCCGCCTATCTGCGAAGCGACATGTATGATGAGCACCGGTCAGGGGGACACCTCCAACGACTCTGCGCCACGTGACTGTGCGCCGCGTAACTGCACACCGCCGCTACTAACCCTGCGCAGTAAAAAAATCGCAGTGGGAAGAAAAACCATCCTGTTTCACCAAAAGGAAGGGTGCATTTTAAAAAAAAAAAAAAATTCCCCCTGTGCAGAAGACGGTGGAAGGAGAAAAGTCCCAATGGCAAGTCCTCCACTTGAAAAATCACGAAACAAACAGAACGTTGACCATCACGTGAGGATGCTAAATGATGAATTGAGCGAGTATATCAGCAAAGACTTTTACCCATTTCTACCGCTGTACAATTTTGAGCAAGAGCCCCTACCGCCCAACAGAAACAGAATAAATGTTCTCATCAGTAAAGAAAAAATGAATAACATTTCAAGAAACAGAAAGAAAATAAAAGGTACACTACGAGGGGGATATACCAAACGACCTGTTGTTCTTTCATCCAAAAAATTAAATGCACATTATGTGAAATTTTTGGCCAAGTTTCGAATGCTAATTAACCGGGTGAAGCAACGAAACACTGGGGGATACACAACTCAGGGTGATGATCCCAAGTATACCATCTTAAAAACGCTTTTGTATTTAAAAGGGGGTTCTGTCAGTAGCACAACCAGTTGCCCGTCTAGTAGGGGTGACCGCGGGAGGGAAGGGACAAGGGGGCCCACAAACAGAAAGGATCCTCTCAGAGATTTACTACTCTTGGACGGCCAAAGCGAAGGAGATCACTACGAGGTGTACAGAGCCATTTCCACAATTCGCTTTTTGAGGGAAAACCTGCATATCCTCCGGATGGACATCATCTACATTTTTGTCTTTTTCGCGTCGTATCTGAATGGCATCTTGGCGAGGTTGCAAAGGGGGCGAAATGGTGAGGAGGTGAAGTCGTGACGAGGCAAAGTGGTGACGGGGCACCGGGGCGAAGACGCAACTGATGAAACTGCTACCCTTTTTTGTGCCCCAAACTGGATGGTTTCGCCCCCCGTGCCAACACAAAAAACAGATGCATCAGTTGGCTGGCCCATTTGGCGCTTCCCCCGCTGACGCTGCAGTGCGCAGCTATTTGAAATATGCCCTAATTCGTTTCCCTTCGCTGTAATAAATTTTTGCGAAAACGTGAAATAACTATTGTGGCAAAGTGCAAACAGGCTGGCCGATGACACGCCTTCAGTTTTGTCTCCCCTTCGTACGGACACACGCGCGAGGGTCGGGGGGTCTCGCCCGTTTTTACAAAAAAGGTGGAAGAGGCGAAAAAAAATGGGTAAAAATGGGCAAAAATGGGCAAAAAGTGATCAAAAGAGCGGGTAAAAAAAAACAACCCTTCTGGTGCGCACCGTGCAGTGGGCTTCTTACGAAAAGGCGCATTCACCTCAGCGGTGGAGGCCGAAGTGGGAAGCCCGCATTCAGTTGGCGCTGCACACAGAGGGGGCACCCGAAACGTAAAAAAAAAAAAATAGCGTAAGCAGAAACAGTTACGCGGATAGTTACGCGGATAGTTACGCTGATAGTTACGCGGATGGTTGCGCGGATAATTGCACAGATGCGTGTGCACTAAGCCCGCTTACCCAAGCTGGAACATGTGCCGCAACTTGTCCAGATGGTTGGTCCCGGGGGGGCCCGCCTTTTGTCCCCCAGCGTGGATCTTGCGGAGGTGTTTGTTTGTCCCCACATGGGAGGGCAGCTCTTCAACGCTGCACTTGTGCCTTTTGTCTCGCAAAAGTGACCTTCTTCTGCGTCGTTGTCGCGATGTAGCTGAGCTGTTTTTTCCACTGACCCTTCTATTTGTGCCTAGGGGAATTCCTTTCTTCCTCTTAATCAAATCGAGGATCAAACTAGTTAGGTAACCTCTGTTCAGGTGATTGTCTCTGTTTTTTTTTTTGTTTTTTACATATCTCTTCGCATCAATGCAAATGAAATTGTACCCAATTTTTTTGACGCATTTCAATATGATGTACTTTTTATAATTAACCATTTTTTTATTTGCCTTCTTCGCATGCATGCCATAGTAGGATACGTAAATGTTGTGCTTCTTCAGATTTTGTTCTTTCGTTCCACTCAGGGTGTAGTAAAAGTCGTGGCCGTACAGGATGTCCACAAGGAGGGTGTTCTTCCTGTCCAATTGTTGTGCCTGGCTGGGTCCATCGCTTCGGCATGGAATTGCAAGGGAGTGTGTCGTCTTTGCCAGGTGGGCACTGCCCACGCTCGCGCAGTTAGTCACGCCAGCCCAGTCAGTAGCGCCAGCCTCGTTAACCGTGTTAGGCGCTCCACCCCCCAGCGTTAGCAAATTAATAGCCAGCGGAAATGTGTAATTCGACACGCTCACGTTTTTATAAACTTCCACCGTCCGAGGGAATATTGTGTGCAGGTCTTGAAATATTTCCTCCTGGAGATCTCTGTACTCGTTGAGGCAACTCGTCCGAGCAGTGTCGCTTGGAGTTTGTCTCGTTTGGGAGGCACCCCCGCGGTCGAGTGACCCCCAACCACGAGACACTTCCCCCAGGTTGACGTCGTCCACACAATGCAACACAAAGTTGCTCCCCTCCTTTCGATCATTTTCACCTGACCAGGAAAGGTGATTTTTTTCCCCCCCACTCTGTTGAAAGGAGAGTTGAGCCAAACCTCTCACAGAGAGCACATTTTTGAAAAGCTTGAAATATTTTAGCGGTAGGGAATTGTACACGGGAGTTATCTGAAGCTTCTCTAACTCATGGGTATTTGTCAAGTGTTTTAAATTTTTTAAAATATAATTGACCGCATTTTCAGTGCATGAATTGGGCAAGTTGGAGAATGCCTTTTTCTCCCTCCCCCCATGATGGTGCTTCGTTTCCCTCCGAGTGGAGAGTAGGCCAAGCAGACCCAAAATGGACACGCATTCATCCACCGAGTTGAAGTTAATAAACTGAAGGATTTTATGCAGCCCCAAAAAATTCACTATATTATAGAGGTTAAATTTGAGAAGGATTTTTAAAACCTTTTCCAGGCTCCTGTTGTCCAAAAATAACAAGTCCCTCTCCATTCTATACAAATGTCTGATCATTCTGTAGTCCCTTATGTTTAACTTTTTGAATATATCCAGAATGTGCAGAGTGGTGGGGGTAGTTAGTTTTTCATTTTTCAGCCAGTTTAGCATTTTTAGGGAAACAATTTTGTATACATCGAGGTAAAAATTGTAACACGTGATTTGGTACTCGGTCTCTCCAGTGGGTGGATTGTTCCCATCACGTTTTACGGTTGGGTGAGATTCTTTGGACAGGGAGTCTTCCCTTCTGTTCAGATTAATGAAACGTTTTAATGTTTTGTTTTCTTGTAATTTTGTAACTTGTCCCTCTTCTGTACTAACCTGTGCAGGGTACTTAAAAATAAAATGATCATACAGATAGATTTTTCTCCTGTCCCTTTTTCTCCTTTTCTTCAAGTGGGATGTATCATCGTGGAGGTAATACACCTGATTGTCTTTGTCCCTTTTTCGTTCACTTGGCAGGGTGGTTTGGTCTCCCCATTTGTCACTTTCCGTCCTTCCACTGTCACCATCGCAGAGGAGGAACACCTCTTCTTTTTGCCTGTCCTGTTTATACACTTTTGGGGCATACCTCCTTAACTCGTGAAACAGGCACGTCCTGAAGTAGAGGTACTGATACACAAACATGACTTGGCTGATCGTTAGTTCCTTCTCCAAACACACCAATCGCTTTAAGAGGATTTTCTCCAGCTGTATAAATGGGGTATTAGTTCCCCTCAAAGCATAGAGAAGTAAAAGTATCTGCCGCGCGGTAAGGAATTCGTTACGATAAATTATTTCCTCCGACAGTGTGTTAAGGAAGGATTCGTCCTGGTGAGTGGCTTCGCTAACTCGAATGATGTAATTAGCCCGCTGGGGGGACACATGAGAGGAGTCTTCACCAGAGGAATGGACGGAACAATCGGTGGGTTCTCCCCTTCCCGCGCTCTTCTCTTCCTCTTCCTCCCACCTCTGCCCCCTCTTAACGTACACATGGAGGTAATCCTTCATATCTATCATGTCCTTTTGCAGAAAGGGGAAGTACCTCCTGTTAATGCTCAAGTCTCTATCGACGGAGGCAAACAGTACGTTTGTTACTTCTTCCACTTTGAAGCATTTTAGTTTCTCTACAATTGCGTATCTGACTTGGATTATAAAATTGGAGAGTGCCTCTCCACGGGCTGGTGCATCCTGCTGCTCCGCTTTCGCGTTGGTGTAATTCACCTGATGAAGCGGCTGTACGAGAACACTCCTGGTAGGGAGTTTTTCCTCAGAACTCCTCTTCGATGGTACAAATGTCGTCTCATCCTTGGTCTCACTGGAGTTAGTCAGCGCATGATTATGTGTAGGCCGTCCCCTTAACAAAGCTGCATTAGCGTGTGAAACTTCCTCAGCTGACGAATGCCTCACACTATCCCATTTCACCCTCCTGATATCGTTATTAAACGCACCATACATATGCATCGCAGACAAAAAAGTGAACATCAAATCGGTGGGGTTGAAGAGAGACAAATTTTTTTTTATCACTTGGATAAAACTCTTGGTCATGTAAAAAAAGGAGTTAAAATGTTCGAAGTGGTGGAGAAAATAAAGACTGTAGGAGTAGAAGAATAAAGTGAGGGAGTGGAAATTTAGATTCTTCAAATCCTTGTGTATTTTTAAAACGCTCAGGTGGAAAATTTCGTTCGTGTAGATCTTCTCTGTCAGGGCAATGCTTCTGGACAGACTGAAGGTAATCAATGCCAGGTCTTTGTAAGAGACATTTTTATTCATTTTTATTAGTATAGATTTTGCCACCATATTTATGAAGTACAGATTGTCGAAGTTGTGTTTTCTCAGGACCAACATGAGTAGACTTAATTCCCGTATGGTCAGTTTGTACATGTGATTCTCCATCTTTTCGCAGATAAAATTTAGTACTTTTTTCTCCAGAGAGACTTGCTTGCTTAATACCTTTAATATAATCATAAAATCGACATAATTGGTCACTTCATTGTTGTACAGTTTGAGGATAACTACGTAGAGGTAGTTCCTCCAGAGAGTTCTCGACTTGAGGTTTTTTTTTTTGCTCAACTCGACAGTTTTTCGGATGCTGGGAAGGTCCATGCTCTTCAGGGTGCTGACTTTGGGGATATTCGCGTGCGTCCTCTTCTGCAGGTAGGGCAGGGCCCGCTGCTTTGCCCTCCTGAGGGCGCCCGTCTGCAGGGGCAGCACCAAGCGCAGCCGCATGGTGAGGTAGGCGCGTCGCCAAGGGGAAAGGAAAGCCAAAAGGGAAGACAGAAGGGACGAAAGAAGTGACGACAGAAGGGACGAAAGAAGTGACGACAGAAGGGAAGACAGAAGAGACGACAGAAGATACTCCACAAACGAGATGAATGGCCAATTTAGCAGCCATATGAGGATGTCAACCCCCACTCCGCCCTCCCCCTGGCTGCAAAATAACCCTCTACTCGTACTCCTCCCTGTAGGCCTCGTACATGGGGTAGAGGCGCAGGGCCTTGAGCAGGGCGAGGTTGAAGCGCCGAACGAAATTCAACTGCAAGTTCTTCTCATAGGTGAAGAAAAAGTAGCTAGCCAAAATGGAGGCAACTTCGAAGAGAGAAAATTCATTGTATAGCAAAACATTCTGTACGATAAAAAAAAAAGGGACATACTCAGCTTTGATGAGGAACAGCTCGAAGCAATTAATGAGGGTACCTTCGTTGATCCGACTCCAGTAGTAGAGTATATACGTGGAGAAAACATAACCGAGGTGATTGTACTGCTCTTTTGTTATACGCACATCTGTGTCCGCCTTTGTAGAAGTACTCTTCTTCCCGCCTAGTAAAATAACTCTCCTAAGTTTATTCACATACCGTTGAAAGTTCAATACGTTCTCATTGTACATACTTCCGATTATCGTAAAAAGAAGATTAGACAGGTAGCCAAATGTGAGGAATGTTAGCAAATCCTCTGGATTCTTGTAGTGTGCAATTTCGACGGAAGACATGTAGATGTGTAGATAATTAAACATGAGAAAATATTGCAGGTATAAATTACCTATATAAAAATAGGGAGTAATTAGTCTCCACACTTGACCCTGGTAGAATACTTTGCCAAAATCGAAGACAATCAATTTGTATATATTTTTATTTGCATGCATGCATATGCTCAGGAGGAAGGTGCATAGGAGGTAAAGTTTGGTTAAGGGGGGGGTCCTTTTAAACGATTTGATGTAAGAATAGAGGTAGCTATTTTCTATGTAATCTAAGTTGAAGAGAGCCTTCACACTTTCAGTAATCTCGTTTAATGATGTGGACGAGGGGGATATAAAAAGGTGGGGGTAGTGCGTTTTTCTTCTTGTCCCCCTTGCTGCTGCTTCAGAGTTTCTAGAATAATTCAGGGAGAATTTTTTTTTTTTTTTTTTTGCTATTTTGTTTTTCTCCTTAGCGAAGTAGTAGCCATGTTGTGATGTCGCATTTTCCTTCTTGTCGCTGTTGAGGGGGCCATTTTTCCTTGTCGTGTCCCTCTTCAGAGCCGTCCTCCCCCGGGGTGGCTCTGCTACACGTGCGCCGCTGCTCAGCACGTTCGCCGCGAATCTGTTCCCCGCAAATCTGATCGCTGCAAACTTCTTCGAGCAGACCCTCGCGTGCTGGTGCCTCACACTTACGATTATTACGCATAAAGGGGCGAGTAACCTGCGCAGCAAAAACATTTTATGGGTGATCAGGGGCTGCTTCTGCGGGGTTCGCGCCTGGGCATAGGCGGCATATGCGGCATATGCGCCATATGTGTCATCTGCATCATGTGCATTTTGGCATCGCTCTGGTGCAGCTTCTTTTTTGTACCTCTTTCGAATGCTCTCTTCCTCGCCTCTGCCCTTTTTGCGCTCTCTTTAAACATTCCCCTTTCGGCGATTTTTTGCGCTACACTGATGTGCGGGTGCAACATGGAGGAAGCGGCTCCTTTGTTGTTTTTTTTTGCACAATTTCCGCACGCGGTTCTGAAGCCACCACGAGCTTCACGTAGTGCGGGGGGGGTCGATTTTGCAACCTTTTGTTTTTTTTTCCTCCTAAAGCCGTGACCGTACGCTGCGTAGTTTTTTTGAATATTTTTTTTTTTTCTTTGCGGGGAATTGTCTTGCCTGGGGAAATTTGCCACGGGGGGGAAGGGCGCAAACGAGTTGCTGCGAATATGGCAAATTTGAGGGTAGCTATATCCCTGGGCACTTAAATACCTGTAACAACATAGGCTAACCATCGTACCCTTTTTTTAGCCTATTCAAACTGGGAGGGCGCCCAAAGAAAAAAAAAACTCCACGCGGAGATGTGCCACCCTCGTAGGCAAGGCGTATATAAGTATCAAAGAATTAAAAAGAAGCAGTGAGTTGCGTTTATTTAAAAATCAAACTGTAAAATTTAAGAATGGGGTGGATAGGTAGACGAGCAGGCAGACAGATGGCAGATAAATGGCCGCTACGTGGCAAATAAGTAGCAAATATGTGGGCATGTAAGTGGACCTCTAAATGGGCCGCTAAACCGGCTGCTAAATGGAGCCGGGTTCCTTTCCTTGGTGTGGAAATATGCTCATTCAAAAAAAAAGGTAAAAAAATGGGAGTGCAAAAATGTGGGGAGAAAAAATTAGAGGTTGGTGAAACCTAAGCGTGTGTGTAAAAACAAACTAGAGGGGCCCGTCTGCGCCTTTGTCAAGTCGGTCGCACACGAGCGGTGTCACGTGTTGTTGATTTGTCACGTGTTGTTGATTTGCCACCTGTTGGTGTTTTCTCACGGCGGTGGGGAGCCGCACCCCTATAAGAAGTACGGAATGGTCGCCTTGTTCTTGATGGAGTTGCGGGAGTCAGGTGTGTCCTTAAATATGAGCATCTGTCGGTTCATATTTTCGTCGATCCGCATGATGGCGGCGACATTCCCGCAGCGGTAACAGTAGTTGGGAGCAGACCACACGGTGATGATGGTCGAATCATCAAACATGTAGCGATAGCCCTCCATAGCTAGCTGATGTGCTCTAGCAATTAGCTCCAAATTGTTAATGTAATTAAACTTTTTCGTAACCTTGGGACCGAAGAGCCAACCAGCACCCCGAGGATTGGCAACCCAGTCTTCCACTTCATCAGGGTCGGACCACATAATGTCACCAAAAGCACCTTCATGTGGAATCTCTTGTACACGATTAATTAAGCGTAATTGGTCAATTAATTTTATCTCAGGAGACAATCCACCATGCACACAAAAAATCTGATTATCCACCAGAGCTGCTAATGTTAAGTAATCAAATATATCAGTGCAATATTTCCATGCATTTGCATTACCATATTTTTTAAAACATTCATCGTAGAACCCATACACGGTCGTTATCTGCCTACTTTCGTGGTTCCCTCTCAAGAGAGTGATATTTTTAGGAAACAGAAGCTTTAGTAACAATAAGTACTCAAATGTCTCCACGCTGTTGTACCCCCTGTCTACGTAGTCGCCCAGAAATATATAGTCATTATTCATGATGTCTCCTCCTACATCAAATAATTCTAAAAGGTCGAAAAATTGGCCGTGTATATCTCCACATATTATAACTGGGGGGCTGATTGCCTGCACATTGTTCTCCTCCACCAGGATTTCCTTCACTCTTTGGCAGACTAGCCTTAAGTCATTTTCGTCTAGTAGCTTTGGTGGATTCATGCGCAATTGTTCAATCCATTTTTTTTCCTCTCCTCTTGTCATTATTGTTGTTATTCCTGGTGTGTTAAGTTTCTGCGGGTGGAGAGGGGGGGTATGCAAACAGGTACGGAGAAGTTGTAAGTATAAAATTTAGCAAACAAATGAGACGGAGAAGTTGTAAGTAAAAAATTTAGCAAACAAATGAGACGGAGAAGTGGTAAGTAAAAAATTTAGCAAACGAATGAGACGGAGAAGTGGTAAGTAAAAAATTTAGCAAACGAATGAGACGGAGAAGTGGTAAGTAAAAAATTTAGCAAACAAATGAGACGGAGAAGTTGTAAGTAAAAAATTTAGCAAACGAATGACACGGAGAAGTGGTAAGTAAAAAATTCAACAAACGAATGAGACGGAGAATCGGTAAGTAAAAAATTCAACAAACGAATGAGACGGAGAATCGGTAAGTAAAAAATACAACAAACGAATGAGACGGAGAAGCGATCTTTGACCTTTTTCGCCTCCCCATCCCCCGTTGGCCTCTTTCACCTGTCCAAACGGGGGAATCGCACAAGAAGTGCAGCAGAACTTCACACTCACGCAGAAACATGAATACAACGCGGTTCATTCGTGGTAGATGCATCGGCATAAGGAGATGGGAAGAGAGGGGCTCTCTGTGGGCGTACCTTTTATCCAATATATCATCGAAGATGGGGGCACGAACTTGGCTGCGCTTCGGTGTCGGACGCGAACAATGGGAAGGAATGGCGTGGTAGCGTGGAGCCAAATAGAATTGTGCCTAACTGCAGGTGCCTTTAACGGCAAACTTACCTAATGGCGACGTGGAGGGGCGCAGAGCCGTGTACGCTACGGCAATTTCGTCCCAATTTTACCAAAAAAACAAAAAAAAGATGTGAATAAATAGGCGAACGAACGAATAATCCAATGAACGAATGAACAAATAAATGTATGCGGGTTCGGGCACATATACGAAATGGCTAGCTTAAAACATGATGGGTTCGGCAAAAACAAAAAGGGGGAAAACGGATGAGGGCGTTCTACTCAACTCCGATAGCCGCCTTGAAAATATCGAGTGTAGGTAGGGCTGAAATGGGAAGCCGCTCAATTGGGAAGAGGCTATGCTCGGGTAACGAATTGAACGCTTCGCGTCAAAAGGTGCTACGCCAAATGATTTACGCTAGTTTAGCTTGCAAAAAAACGCACACTCACATTTTCTCGCTCGCTGCTTTGTAGTAAAACACACATATATCAGCGTAAGAGATAATGACAAACCCGTCCAAACGAGTACTTGGCAGCGCAAAGGACCGTATCTCCCGTTGGAGATGCAGATAAAGTGTGAAGAATTTGTACAGTATGTGAATCCCTACTTTGCAATTTCGCGCAATGAAAAGGGTTTCCGTCCGGCTTTTCTTTTTTTTTTTTTTTCCTTTTTTTTTTTTTTTTTTAACCCACAATTGAAATTTTAACATGTAAAGGCTTCCACCTTTTTTGCATATTTCGAGTGCGTTTTTTTTTTTTTTTTATTTTCCTACTTTGCATATATTCGTTATTATGTCATTTCTTTTTAGTACAAAAGGCAAAAATGTGAATAATTCCGTTTGGGAAAAATGTACGGGTGGGTTATGCTTCACCTACCTTTTAGAGGTAAAACGCGAGTGTGGTCCATAACCCAGTGGTGATTGATCAAATTCCGCAGAAGTCAATTGGCGAAGATCACGTTATCGGCACTTCCACTTGAATCTTCATGTCAACCTTTCCGTGCAGGAAAGCGAGCATGTACGCGAGGAAATCCATACATGTAGAATCGAATAATTTATTTTTCCACAAGGAAAAAGTGGATGCCAAGAGGACACATCAATAAACTCGTGCCAGCATTTCGTAATACACGTATGTCATAACGCATGACCGTATGATGAACTTTCAATTTTAAAGCTCGTACGGTGACACATAAAATGGACAAAAAGAAAAAAACAATTTTAAAAAGAAGACACCCTAAAAACGTTAATTCCTTTTGTTCTTACGCACCCTTTCTGGCAGCTACACTTCGCAAAAGGGAAAAAAATTTTGTCCACTTTTTTCGTTGAAAAATGGAGTATTATTTAACACCTGGCTTGTTCAGGTAAATTTTGCTTCTTCTGGCTTTCTTTTGCTTCCTTTTGCTTTTTTTTTTCCCCCATTTTGCACATTTTTTACGCCATTTTGGCTACCAAAAGGGCTTTACAAAATGAGCGGGAGGAGAAAGTCTCCGCTCCACAGGACACGGGAAATGCAATAAAAAAAAAAGGGAGCATAAACGAATGTGCCTAAAAAATGAACATACGTTCATATGTGCCTACGTCCATTTGTAGATATGCTGCTACATGCCCCCCAGCATGTGCACATTTTTGCCATGGCGAAGAGGAAGGCTCTGTGCCGCGCTCTTCTTTCATATCACCTCCGCTTGTAGAAGAGCACTCTCACACATTTGCAAAAACTAAATGAAACTTTTTCAAATGCGCTGTACATGGTGAGGAGGCGTAACGAAAAGGGGTAGACATGAGCACGAAATGATTCTTTGAATTTTTTTCCCCTCTTTGTTGGAGTTTTTTTTTTCTCTTTTTTTGCGTGCCATACGACCCTTTTGTATGTTTACCTTACACAGCACGTATGTAACGTATAACTTCACTGCAAAGGAGGGCAATTCCGAAGGACATCTCCCCCGCTGTAGTGGTTTACTCACATGTACGAGCATACACCCTAGTGTGAGCATTTTTTTTCGCATAGGTACCATAATGGCAGTTACCTTTCAAGCATAAGGCATGATTTCCCTGCATATAACAAAGCTGCATATCGCAGAAGGTCCCGTGCTTCTTGCTTCCTAACTGCATTCGTGACAACATCTGTGCCTATACCTTTGCGGTCCTCGTATCGGTCGTTTTACCTACATTTTTATCTTCCCATTAATTCGTCATATTTTTCTCTTAACATCGTGAGGGAAAAAAAATATGTAGTAAATGCTGCAGGTACACCACGCGATTGCTATGGGTTACGCACGGTGTACATAAGCAAGAATGCATAAGCGAGTGGGCTTACGATACGTACACTTTTCTACAAGCATATGGTTTCCCCCGTTTTTTGCCCTTTCAAAGAACTCGTCTGTTCAAGGAGGCCCCCGTTTTGATATGCAATCCCGCAGTGGAGTGAGTGGCCCCAGTTAAAAGGGGAAACATCACCATAGGCATATAGAATTCATCTCATAGCGCAATTATTTCAGCGCAACCACGGGTTTTGAGCTGCGCCCCGCGCACGAGTACAGTTATGGTGCCGTGTTGTCATGTGTACGGGTTCGGCGCACGGAGTGGCGTGTACATTTGTATGTAAGGAGCATATGGGTAGCACATGCGCAGCAGATTGGGGTACAGTATTTATGCCACCAGTGCGGCCAGTATTCTCAAACCTCGCTAATCGATGACCTCCTAAACCGCTGATCAGCCAACCGCTTCCGCTAAACACTTAAGTGAAGAACTGCTCAAGCAAAAAACATGTTCATTTTTGCATGGGCGTACGCAAAAAAAAAAATATATATATATACTTTTTACAAAAGAGGAGGCAACGTTAGGTGGTGGACGACAAAAATAAACATTTTTAACATAAATATTTCTTCTGCGCAAGGGGAAGGAAGCTTTAAAAAATTAAAAAAAAAAAAAAAAAATAAAGAATTAAACGCCAAGTTATTTTTTATTTACGAAAAAAAAAAAAAAACGAGCAAAAAAAAATTATCATATACATATTCATTTATACATACATATATATGTTATACGTATTCAGCCGAACGCGCAATTTGCAGATTTTGTGACCCTTCATTCTTAGCAAAGGAAAAAGCAGTTCCCTTGCATACAAAAGAGTGATTGTTTTTGTACGGTTACGCCAATAGCTATGTAAAAGTATACATGTATTACGTGGTCCCCATTTGTACGTCCTGACACTTTTGTACTCGCATACGAGCGCATCATTTGCGTTTGCAAGTTTAAGCGAACAGGGGAAAAAATAAAAAGCCGCCCTCATCGAAAGTAGCCAAGCACAGTATATTCTCTATACTCATTATACTGCTCCTAAAACGTGCATGTGAGGCTCTTTTTTTTTAACCACAAAATTTTGAACATTTCTTAAATGACATAAAAGGGAAAATTTTAAAATGAGTTCAAATTGTTCACAGGAGAATGAGGTAGCCTTTCTTCGCCTTGCTTGTTAATTTTATGTGGAGCCGTTCGACGAATGTGTTTATGCCAGTGCGTGTTTGTATATATAGAGAGAAAGAGGTCGTATAGTATGCGTGTTACCTCCTCTGTGTTTACTCCCCCGCCCCCTTTTTTTTTTTTTTGTTGTTGTTTCTTTGCCCAACTTGTGAGACTGACTTTGCCGTCTTACTAGTGTGAACAGTTGAACATTGTTTTTTTTTTTTTTTTTTTTTTTTTCTCTCCTGCAGGACGAAGCAAATATAATAGACGGGAGATTCCAAAATTTTCTAAAATTGAAGGCGCGAAATGGCGCCGTGAGCAACGGAGGGGCAGGCGGCCATTTTAGCAGCCATTTGGGCGACAACGTGGGTGGCAGCTTCAGTGATAGTTTTAGTGGCAGCTTTAATGGCAGTTTTAATGACAGCTTCAGTGGCAGCTTTAGCGGCAGCCGTGGCTGCAACGAGGGTGACGCCCCTAGTAACACCAACAATGGCAACAGCGGCAACGGAGGAAACGGAAGCCCCTACAGCAATGCCGCCAGTAGCAGCTACTATGGTAGCGCGAACAGAAGCACATCAGAAAATGAAGAGACACACGGAGGAGGGGATCTCTCGAACATAAAATTTAGCCAAAATGGACAATACAAGAGATACCATGACTTTTATAATAACAAAAACTCCCTTCAACATTATTTGAAAAAATTAAAAGCATGTAAAATAGACGCAGACGAACTTCGAAACATTTTGGAAAAAAGACTCGCCCTAGAGCGTGAGAATCAAATGCTTAAGTCAATACAGGACGATGATAAGAAAGGAGGGTTTGGAAGTGAAACCAATTCTTCCTCGTCCAACCATGAAGGCTTACATCTTTACAGGAAACTTAATTTTCTGAACAAAAATAATAGAAGCAAATCAAAGAGTAAGAACAGAAAGAGAAAGAGAATTAACTCCAAAATTGACAAAAAGTTTATTATTAAATGCCGGACATGTAAGTACGTCAACCCTAATGGTTTCAAGATGGGAGACTACTACACGTGTCAGAATTGTGGGTACAACGACTTTTCCGTGTTACGGTCCAGTTCCCCCAACAACGGGGAGTGAGTAGCGTGGGTGGAGGTCGTCGTGCGTAGAGGTCCACGCCAGGGGGGGGTCCCTACATGTACGTTGGTATGTATGTGTGTATACATATATATATTTATATATATATTTATGCACACCTGCAGCTGCACGTTCGTGTGCGCCCCCGCTCACCCTTTCGCCTCCGCACCCATCGAGGAAGACGCCACCACCTGCCTGTTCATCAAGATAACGCGGTTACTTAGCGCCCCGCGCATAGGAGCTTTTATCTGCGTTCGTTACCCCCACACACACACAAACCCCCGTAGCAGTAGTATTGATTCCTTATGTATACTTAAATTTTGAAGCATAATTTATTATCAAATAATTACGTAGCTTCTTTTCATTTTTCCCTTATCACTCTTTTTTTTTTTTTTTTTCTTCTTTTCCTTTGGCACATACGTATTTATCAGCATATATGACATAATTTAAATTTTTACATTCTTATTATGTTTATACGTGAATATTCATATGTAAAACTTTGTAAAAAAGAGGATACCCTAGTGGAAACTCGGCGCGGAAAAACTGTTCGCGGCCTGTTTTGTCAGCATGCGCATGATTGGACGTGTGGGTAAATATGTGTACACGTATGTATGAATAGCTTATATCTATATCCACCTATCCCACATACATACAAATGTGCATGTATGTACGCCTGCCTAAACTAATTTTCCAAAAAAACAGGCGCACAATTTTGCGTTATTTTTATTTTTTGAATTGACACCCCCAGAATATGTTCACGCATGACCTGGACAAGACGCTGGCGTGCAGTTGTACCTCCCGTTTGGCGGCAAATATGAGGGTGTAAACGTGTAGGGGTAAATGCGTAGGGGTAAACGCGTAGGGGTAAACGCGTAGGTGTAAATTCATGGGGGTAAATGGCTAAGCGTCCCATTCGCTGCTAGGGAAAGCGCCTTCAAACACACGGCATGTAACGCCTTTCAATGGGTAATCATATCTCTCCTCTTGCAAAGCGTCCAAATGGAATTATGACGCAAGCGGTGAAACTTGCTGCGCTTCTTCCGTTTAAGCATAATAATGTTACTCATAAGGAACGGCTGCCTTCTTTTTGTTGCGTCTCCAAGGGACAAAAAACATATGTCCCGAAATAGTTAACCACTCTTCCACGTGGAGAAACCATTTGAACGTTCTTGCAGGGATGTACTTTGTGGCACAGGCAACGCATATACGCGGTAGAGACACACGGACACAATTGCTCCCCCCCTATCACCCCTTTTTACTGCAATGTAACGTGGAACGTACATAACGCTGAGGCAATTTTTTAAAAAAACGATTTTTACAAAAAGGAAAAAAAAAAGGCATAATTGTAAAATTAACAGGTTGTGTAAAAAATGACGAAATTTATTTTTTATTTTTCATGAAATTGTTGCGAATTTAGTTGACGCGCTGATTTGTTTTCTTTTTTCTCCACATTGGCCAGTTTAATTTTTTTTTTTTTCCCTCTTTCTATTTTCTTTTCTTTCTTTTTCCAGCTCAGTAATTCCATCCCAATTTGCGATTCCAATTTTGACGTTCCCTCCTGCCCACTTTGACAAGAGAAATTTGCGAAAGGTAAAAACTTCAAAATGGGTCAGAACGCGCGGGAGGGGAAATAAAGCAAGATAAAGTACAGAGGGGCGGATCTTCCATTTTGACGCATTTCTTTTTACCGTGACTATGCGAAAAAGGGGAAAAAAATGAAAAGCGGAATGTTCAGTCTTTTTAAGCGGTTCATGCTTACGCGGATGATTGCATTTGTGCAGGACAGCCGTGACGTGTTCCGCTTGACGGGTTGTCTCGAGTAGGGGGTACCTTCAAACAGGTACTACTTCTCCCATGCACTGCGCTTAACTTGTGAGGGGCAGGCGGAATGGGCGGCCACGGAGGGCTAAACATCCTGCCGCAGAAAAAGTGGAACGTTTACAGGAAGGATAGACAGTTTAAAGTGAATTATGACGAAAACAAACTTATAAAGGAAGAAGAAAAAAAAGTGAGAAAAAAGACTGAGCAGGCATTTGAAAACACCATCAGTCAGCTGAAGCAGAACGTGAATCAAAGCAGCGCGCACGAAGGCGATGCCTGCCAAAAGAATAACCAAAATGAGGGGAACCATCACTGTGAACACATTAACCTATTTGCAGAAGAGGAAAAAGAAATAAATGAAAGGAACAAAAAGCATGAAGAATTTTTAATCAAAAAAGGACACTACATTTACAATGATAAAAATTTTAATGGAGAAAATTGTATCTATGACAAGACAAGTAATGCAAAAATTGTTTCCGATTTTGACAAAATTAAGTTAAGTCAAAATGAGTGGTATTTGAGGAGACAGAGCAGCATTTTTCCCAACACGAATGAGTCGAAGGAGCTAAAGGGGGGGAATAGGGATGACCCTTTTTGGGACAAGGTCCACCAGGGACAAACTGACCATCTGCGGAGAAGCCACTCGTCAGAAAGTGACGACTCACATCGGCATGGGGGAAGGTTAAAACATCGAGATAGTAGAAGGAACAAGGAAAAGGAGAAGAAAAGGAAAGAGAAAGAGAAGAAGAAAAAGAAGTATGACCATATCAAGAAACTTATAAAATATAAAAAAGACAAGGAGAAAAGGGAAAGGAAGAAAAGCCGCAAAAAGTGACTGCCCTCTGGTTAGTAGCCCCAAAGTGTCGTCTGCAAATCTGAATATCTGGAGCAAATACGCGTGAAAAGCGCAGTTCACCAATTTAATAGCAAAGGGGGGTTCTCCTATATTGCCATAATGCATGGCAGTCCCGTGAAGGGTACCGGCGCATGTCGGACCTTTTGGGAAATTCGGGTCGCCGGGCGGGAAGAAGTTGTCTAAACTGTGAAGGAAAAAGGGAGCAACGACAAAATTCTCCAATTATGAAGTTCCCAAGATGCCATTGAAAGGATTAAAATGGGGACATCTGCACGAACAAGGACGCGCACTAATGGAAGAGAGCTTTTTATTTTTTTTCATGCGAGTAGCCAACGTTTTAAGAGATTCCAAGGCACCACATTTTACGAAGTGCCACCACCATTCCGATGTGGGGTGTTCAAATCCCAAAGTGGGAAACGAAACTGCTTCAAGTTGACATGTTTTGGTGCGGACATAAATCAACGCAGCTTTTTTTTTTTATTTGGCAAAAATGATAAGTTAATGTGCCTTTAAAAGGTGTGTTCTGCATCATACCGAACAGGTTAACATTGGGCAGCATTACCCCCATGAGAAGAACGTTGTATGTTTATTTAGACACCGTTTAAGGGATATCTGCCTTTTCACGTTTGATCATTACCTGTGTGCCATAACATAGATGTGTACCCCTGTCTGGGACGAAATTGTCTTTTTTTTTGTTATATTTTCACGTGTACACATTTATATGGACGCATCTGTAAGGAAACACCACTTTTTTTTATTTACACACTTTTGCATCTTTACAAATTTGCTTTTTTGATCGTCTTTGGACATAATGTGATAATATTATATATAAAAGGAAAAAAAAAAAAAAAACGAATTAAAAAATGGTTTTTTTTTGTCTTTTTAAAACTTACTAAAATTTAAAACGATCTTTTGTGTATCTGTAAATATTGCTAATATAGCATACACTATACAAACAAGATTGAAGAAAAATGGGGAAGAAATGGCCAGAGGAGTGAAAGGGAAAGCGGAATGCACTCACTTAAGGGAAGGACAGACCACTCATAAAAATGTACATAGGTAATACATATACACACATTTGTAAACGTGCACACGCCCGTATGCATAACCTGTAAAAATGAAAACTTTTAATTAACAATTTAAATGAAAATGCATGTCAAAAGAAAGGTAAAGAGGAGTAATTACCCTTTTAAAAATTTTTAATGTTAATTTTGCAAATGGGACAGGTTGACTTTTTATTTATCCACTCAATTATACAGGATTGGTGAAAATTGTGTGTGCAAGGCAAAAATATGAGAGATTCGTTGTGCTGGTAATTTTCGTAACAAATGGAACATATTTTTAAGTTGTTATTTTCGTTTTTTTTTATGTCAAAGTGCACAATTAGGTAATCATTATTTTCCTTTAACTTTGCGCGCGTGCCTATTTTTTTATTTCCACTTCCAGGTTGTTCTCCCGCGCTGCTAGACGCATTGGCCACTCCTCGTGTGCTCCTACTTACAATCCTATTGGTCCTTTCGTTGCTTCGAGTTAACGTTTGTTCCCTTCTTAAATTTGCGACAAAGGGGATGTCTGTTGCTCCTTGTGGGCCGCCGCTAATGGGGACCTCGTCAGCTGAGCTTGCGCTTATGGAGCTGGGCATCGCTGAGCCATTATTAACGTGGCGTGTGCTGTTCGTCGTGATATTATTGTTTGTGCCGCTGCCGTTGTTGTTTGCGACGCTGCTGTTATTGTTTACGCCCCTTCTGCTGTTGCGATTCACCCCATTTCCGCCATTGCTGCGGTTGGTCCTGCTGGCCCTGTGTGGCGGAAAAACGTAAAAGCTGAAAACAGGATCTAAATTTTCTTCAGTGTTCGCTCTCACAGTTGTAGTGCTAACCCTGGACGAGCACGTACTGGTCGGTGGACCGAGAAGGGGGGCCACGCGTTGCCCTCCCCCTGCACTTGTTTCGGCCCTCCTACCCGTACGCGGGCCAGGGGCTCTAGCTAATCCTCTTGCAACCATTACAGCCGCATTAACGGCAGCATGTGCAGCACCGACCGGGGGAGAGCCCACAGAAGCAGCTACAGCAGAACACGCAGCAGAACCAACAGAGAATCCAAGAGGAGGGCCAACAGGACCAACAGGCGCACTTATAGGCGCACCGACAGCACCTCCCATAGCAGCAGTTCTGTTATTGTCATAATCATTATTCGTAGTGACACAATTGAAGTTATTTATGTTAATGATAGATGTAGTTCCAATGTTGCTATTCCCGTTGTGAATTCTCCCAGGTCCCTGGTTCGAACTTCTATTGCTTATGCTGTTTCTACTAGTGCTGATAAAGCTGTAATTGTTCGTAATGGTGTTAACAACTTGATTCGTTCTAACATCACTCCGGATGTTTCTGTTATGTCTATTTGGTATGAACAGAAATGGATTGTTGGAGGGAGGGTCGCCAGGATACATCCCTACACCATTATTAATTAAATTGTACGGCATGGTTCCATTCATAAGATGGCTCGTATTTCTTCCATTGTTTACGGGCGAAATGTTATTATCGCCATTGTTACTCCCGTCGTTGCGGTAATTAGACATGTTAGAATTGACGTTCATGTTATTGGCTTCCTTAATACGCCTAGAATTTGTTGAGTCATTAGAAGTTCTATACGTGTTGCTGTTTGTTACTCTTCTTAAGGGCCATATATTGTTAGAGTTATTGTCAAAATGGGAAAACCCCGAATTTTCACAAATACATGGATATCTGTCTACCAAATTGGAATATAAGTAATTTATATCATTAATGCTTCCAGTTTCTGTACGTACTATTTGGTTATACGGATTTCCACACGAGTGGGAGAAATATGTGTGCGGTAAATCTGGTGGTATCCCTGTAAAAAAGCTTTCATGTGAAAATACATTCTGGTTATGAAAGAAAGTGCTTCCGTTTCTGCCATTGAATTCTTGCGTACCTGGTCCATTTGTGCTGTAAAAATTGTTTTGTCTTCCACGATTGGTGGTTTCCCCACTGGAGTTGCCATCTGGGTAGCTGTTGCTTCTATTGATATTGACGTTCCTCCCATTGTTGCTGCCGCTGCCGCTGTTCATGTGGATAAGGTTTCCATTGCTCGTGTGACTGACACTTCCCCTGGCCATCTCGCTCCCGTTCCCTCCGTCAGTGCTATTAACAATAGTGATGCTGCTTCTGTTAAGAATGCCCCCACTGATGGTGTTGACAATGCTGTTCCTGTCATCGGTGCGACTATGTTCATTTCCTAAAATATCGATATTATTTCCCATTGCAGCGTTAATTTTTTTATTCACATCATCTAAACTTTGGTATATTTTCCTTAATTTCTTATTTAACACATCATCGACAGAATCATCATTTTTTCCATTCCTATTTGTTCCCCTTATGTCATTTATATCCGTGAGTATGGAACTCATGCTTTTATTCACAAAACTGTCTATATCTGCACTTGCACTGTTAATATTAAACCTATTCTTAGATTTTTCTGCAGCCCTTTTTACGTTAGCTTCTATTGCGCTTATCATGGAATGTATGTCGTTAATAATACTGCTAGGATGTTCCTCGCTCTTATAATTGTCTGTGTTCTTACTCGTGCTGCTATTTTCAAACGATGATGCGTTGGGGTCAGGAAAAATGGCAGAAATGGATTTTCTCATAGAAGACAAGAAATTATCAACAGAATTTCTGGTTGCTTCTAATTTATTGGGTAAATTTCGCTCTCCTCCATTTGTGGTTACATTTTTCTTTAAATCTTCCACATTATTGCTGAACGGTAAAATGTCTTCTACTTTATTTTCCCCTGGGCTCACAATTTCTATTATATTCTGCGCACTTACACCTTTGTTGCATAAGTTATTTATGGAATTGTTATTTTTCCTATCTACCATGTTGTTCTTGTTTTGGGAAATGCAAATCACGCTCTTATTGTTCCTTTTATTGATAACTGCTGGGCTGTTTCTAAAACGGTCAAGATTGGAATTGTAATTATAAATCATGTCAAAAATTTTATCTTCCTCAGCATGATGGTCATTATTATCAGTTAAAATTATTTCCGAGTTGTTAAGAGTACAATTGGTGCTAGTGAAGGAACGTTTTAGTGCACATCTGTTTTGCTTGTTTCGGTCTGAGCTAAAATTAGTATAGAAGCTCTTATTCCTTGTATTGAATAGGCCATTATTTGGGTTCTTTTGCTTTTCATATGCACAACTTTGTTCATTTTTTTCTGCAGATTCTAGCGTGTGTGCGTATAAATGATCCTGTAAGATGGATTTCTCTATAATATCAGCGCAAATGTTGCATAAGACGTAGGTAGTCTTCCCCTCTTTATTGTAATTTCTGTCATTGTTTTCGTTATGGTTTCCGCATCGAGTGTTATTCCCATTAGTAGCTCTTCCATTGGGTGTACTATTCTCCTTACTGCCGCTTCCACTTGTTGTGTTGCTCTCATTTCTGCTTGTTCCAATCGTATCACACACATCACCGCAGTTTTCAGTGTTGTAATCATGCTTCGGCTCTACTTTTATGGGAACAGTTTGATCATCCCTAACTTCTAAATTTCCTTTTTCTTCATTTCCGTTTCCCACTGAAGAACCTGAACTTCCGCTTTTAACATTTGTCGAATCTGAACTTATGCATATAACTTCTTCTTTTTTCCCTTTTACTTCGGTTAAATCATAAAAATTGTTTAATTCATTTTTTTCGTGGTTCCTTTTCTCCGATGAGTGCTCCGTTTCTTCGGAGATGTCATAAAAATCATTTTCCCTGTTTCCTACACACACATTGCCAATTTTTTCTTCAGAATTTTCTTCTTGAGTCCCTGATTCGGAATCAATGGATACTTCTACGTTATCATTTTTATGTTCTTCTAAATTACTGATCATTTTAAAAAACTGCCTTTCCGTTGCGATTTTTTTTTAAGCTCTTTTTTTTTATAATTTCTTTTTTATGCGTTCTTTTAAGTGTTTCCGTTTCCGATGCGCCTTTTGCGTGTTTTTTTAATTAAAAAAATTTTCTTTTCCGTCTCAAAGGGGAATAACAAGAGAAGGCATGTTTTATATATATTTTTATTCTTCATGTAGACTTTTCCAAAAATGCGTATGTTCAACTGGAGCATATGAAAACTGGTTGCAAATAAAAAAATTCTGTGTAAAATTTTCCTTATGGGTAAAAAAATTATGATGTAAATATAAATTTCGACAAAACTAAAATTTTCAAGTGAACGAAAAATCGCAATGTCATTCCTATCTCTTCACATACAAAACTTATGGGCTTGTATATAATGAATTATAACCACAAGCATTCGAGCTGTACATTAAATAAACACGTAATTTAGTAGGCATATGCGAATATATATTTATATACATATACATGCATTACGTACAATTTTTTTCGACTTTTTTAATGTATTGCATTAATTTTTCCGAAAACGTAAAATTTATGAATAAACAATTTTTTTATATCTTCTCTGTACTTAAAAACGTTTAAAAAGAATTTATGGTTTTTAACAAATTCAAAAAAAGTTGCATGAAAGAATGTACAGCTGTTTTGTTCTGAATTCTTCTGCATGCTGCTCTTTACGTTATGTATACGTATACATAAAATAACACCTTTTACATATGAAGTTTTTTTTGTATTGTATTTTTACTGGGGCGTGTATTTGTACAGATGTTTTTTTTAAAGTTGCTAAAACTTTTATTCAAAAGGCATAAATACTTTTTATCGTATTTCTTAAAAAGGCAAAAATGATACACCTGCTTATGGGGAATTTTATTTTATTTATTTTTTTTTTTTTCATTTTTGCTTAATTTTTAACTCTTTTGTTCAGATATAAAAATGTACAATGTGTTCCACATACTGTATTATAGATCATGCAAATAAGAATTATAGAGCTGCCATTTCGCCGTCATTTTTTTTATATATTCATTTGCAACCCACTTCTTGGTGCACATGTACATAATTTTTTGCATGTAATAAATCATCACACAGTTCACAATGGAATGTAATGAAATCGATTCCTTAACATACATAAAAAACATTCATATTGCGTACTTATCTTTTTGTTCATTGCATTGCTATAAAAGTGTTGATTTGGTGGACGGAAGAATGAAAGATCATGCGGCTGATCGAACAGTTATTGTTATTGCCTGTGCCTATTTACAAGCATGTGACGACAGTTGTTTCTATGTATGTGGTTCCATTAAAATAGCCTTAAGTGTTTTTACATCATAATTTGAGCAAGCACATTAAACATTTACAAAAGGACATTTTTTTTGGTCTTGTATTTTCTTCAATAAGATAGAACGAACAAATACGTAAATAAAATTTACAGAGTACAAATGTATTAAAAATATTTAAAGGGTTTTTCCCTTTTTTTTCGAATTTAAATTGAAAGGCTTTCTTTGTGTCCTCTTTAAGAACACATATTTTTTTCTGCTTCTACATGTTATTCTTTTTTTACTATTAAAAAATAGATGCTTATTTTTCAAAAATCGAAAATGACATTGGTTTTATTCTGAAAAGGACAAAAAGCATAATCTTCCCCTCATAAGTTAATATTTTAAAAAAAAATTTATAAAACGTAAAATAAGGAATTTTATCAGGAGCATAACTCTGTATATTATATTTTGGCCATTTTTCATGCAATATGCATAAAGACTTTTTAATAAACCACATGAATGATAAAAGCATTATAATGAATAAATAAGAGCATACTTTAAGAGTTGAAGATCAACATTTTATAAATGCATTGAAACGATGCATTAATTATTTATGTTAAAGTACTGTCCTACGTTACAACACATTTTTCGTTAATAAATGGACGAATTCTGAAAAAAAATTCTATTTGCAAAATATTTTACATGATTAACAAGTTCCTCGGCCTGAAACAGCACATCGCACTACATTTTCGTGCGCATCCTTTGGTTTAATTTTATGCACACCTTAAAATTTTCATTTATATTGCCTCATGTGTAGTTTTTGCATTATTCCCGCTTGACTCTCTACATAATGGTGTTACATTTAAAAAAAGAGTCATATTTACATGAGTAATTATTTCTGTAAATGTTCTTTTTCATAAATTACGAAAAAAGAACGCACACACTGTTACATCAAATTTGTTGTAATTAAAGAAAAAAGAAGTGTATGGCCTGCACACTTGTAATCACATTCATGTATTCTTAAAAAAACGAACGTCTATGCAAGAAATGAGTATAAAGGGGAAATACCTTTTGGTTTTCAGTTCCTATTATCTGCATATTTTTTATGTCTACTATAACTTTTTGGAAAGAAACACAAGCATTCTTCTTCATACAACAATCTATTTAATTCTTCCCATGTTCAATAAGAAAAGAAAAAAAAATATCTGCAAATATCAAGCTTTTTCGTCCGTCATGAATTTGTATAGCGCTAAAATTTACCCATTTTCTTCAAAAAAAAATTACCCAATTTAGACACAATAAAGGTATGATTAATAATTGTGCTTTCATAAAAGATGCTCCAGAAATGAATTCAAAAGGATAATCCCCAGAAAGTAAATTTACAGATTGAAGTTCATGCTGGGTCAACAACAAAAAAAAAAAAAAAA